TCATCAAATGCAAGAAACCTGTATTAGGGTTTAGTTAGTTTGTTTGTTTTTTTTTTTTTTCGTTTTTTCTTTGTTTGTTTGTTTGTTTATTATTATTATTATTATTATTTTTTTTTTTGCAATTTTAGAGTTGATGGGAGGGAAATTAAAATCGAACAAACAACAGCAACCATAATACCATCATACCATCTTCATTAACTTGTCATCATTGTGGTCTTCATATCTATCCCACCACCTGCGGTTACCTTCATCTTCATCCCTAAATAAATAAATAAAAAAGAACAAAAATCAAATCTGAAACGAATGTTTTGTGAAGAAGACGAAGTACTTTGGGGTGATGAAATCATGAAGATGATGTTGGTGAAGGCAATGGTTCTCTATTCTTTTTCAAGAGTAATTTCAATTTTAAGTGTTTTATTAAAATATAATATAAATGTTAATTATTTTATATTAATTTAAAATCAAATAAAACTAGAATTAAATAAAAAAAGGTCAACATCGACACCATATCAATGCCACAGGGATGCCCCACATACATTAAATAAAAAAATAAGCTAGTTGTGATGTGCCAAACATAACCTAAGTTGATATGGATATAAAATGTGCAAAGATTTTTGCCTCAAGGCTTCAATCAGTGCTTCCCTGATTCACTGTAGCATTTTTCCAAGTGCTCCATTTTGTTTATTTTAAAACCCCTAATCCTCACTTCCTCTGGCAATCCACTATTCTCTTTATCAACACTTTCAATTCCCCAACCTCTGGCAATCCACTATTCTCTTTATCAACACTTTCAATTCCCCAACCTTTATTTTGCACTGCTCATCCCACTTTCACCTGACAAAAAACAAAAATATGGTGTTGGGCTAAACTACAATTATAACATCATAGTTTCAATGTTTCTTATTCAGGCACACTACTAGAAAACTGATGCAATAGCTACAGCACAATCCGTAGCTATTCTGTAGCTATAAGCGGATAGCTACGGAATTGCTACGGAAAAATGCCTGTAGCATAATGGCCTGTGGGAAAATTATAGCTACGGATTAGCTACGGAATAGCTACGGAGTAGCTACGGAATAGCTACGGATTTCCTACTCAATAGCTACGGAATTGAATAGCTACGGAATAGCTACGGAAGTAAATAGCTACGGATTTTTTGTAGGTAATCCGTAGCTAATTACTTTTTATTTTAGAAAAAAACAATAAAAAATTATAAAAAAATCCAGTTTTTTTCTCTCCAAAATATTGAAAAAACCCATTACATTAAACTTAAAATAATATTGAAATTCAACTACAAAACAAATATCATTATAATAAAACTAATAAACCTAAAAAAGTATCAAATACAAATACATATTACTAATTAACATTGTCTAATGATACACATAATAAGTGTCAACTACAAATGTTTAAATAAGTGCTTACAAAATAAAATTGAAATTTTTTTGATCGATTACTTGGCAAAGGAAGTATCAAACTAACAACGTGCAAGCTTGCCTGAAAAATGTAAAAACAAGTATCAATTACTAATTGAAAGAATGTGCAACTGTTATTTAGTTACAATAAGTTAGTTATAATTTTCTTTTAGCATATAAAAGAAATCATATTATGCAAGCGATGTTAATAATATTGTGGGAATTATTTATCATGGTAACTAATATTCATACCATTCAAACTAATTTTAACACATGAATGCTAACAGATACAAAATATCATCTAACAAACAAACCATTTTTCCTAGTGTTATAATAATGAAAAATAGCATCTTATTAACAAACCATTTTTACTAATGTTAAATGATAAAAAAAAACACCATTTCAATCCATCTAATCATCTATGCCTAATAAAGAAACATTCTGATTCATAAATATTTACTTTATAAAAACTAGAATTAATAAAGACTTGAATACACATAAAGAAATTAACGGACCTGGTAATGTGCTATTATCTAAACCAAGAGCCATTGTAGCTCCTCTTCTGTCAAAATTAAGGTTCCCCCAAAAGCAATACATGTGATCCCTTTTGACATTTTTCTCGTTCAGGCATCCTACTTGCCTGAATGTGTTTTCTTTAAGTTCTAGAGTGAAATTTCATGAATCTTTCATGCCAACCTGTTTTTAAGAAGAACCAATGCTTAGGTTGTCAAACACCTTTGAAATTAGTCATCGTATACAAATTTTGACAATCTACTTTCAACAAAGTTTCTAAAAATAACAAGTTATAAAGTTCATGAAGATAATAGCAACATATTTGTGTTTTTACATAAATTTCAAGCTTCTAATCATGCTCATGATTACCATTAGATGCTATTTTACTCTAAATCCAGGTTTGACCAAAACAGAAAAGTCAATGTTACTATCGTTCATCATCTTCAACCTCAAGAAACTAGAATCGATTCATGTATTGAGGTTTCTAATGTCCTCAAAAGCTTCCATCCATAAGCAATTTTAGGATTTACCAACCAATTTCAACATGAAATCAACAATTCCAAACGAAACCGACGTTAACTTAGGTTTATAGAAATTACCTTCACATCTTGTGTTCACAAGCTGAAAATCATAACGATTGGGCTGTTTCTTCGTGTTTTTCCAGCCTCCACAACACCGAAATCGCTATTAGCCATCACCAACGACAGCCGGAGATGATGACTAACGGGCACGCCGAAGATGGGAGGTCAGAGGGTGTGCTGCGATGTGGAGTGCATGCGCCATTACATTCTTCAAATTAAAAAAAAAAACTAGGTTTTACCTTTGTGGGAGAAGAAATCGAGCAAAGAGGGGTAATGACGGATGAGCTATGCTGCCAGAGAGGGAAGGAACGTCGGAAAATGGGTGAATGCACCGGAGAAGGGACGAGCAACGAGGGGGTTGGCGTTCACAGAAGACAAAAGGTGGGAAGACAGGAGCGAGGAGTCGATATGAAGGAAAGCGTAGGAGTCGATACATGGAGGTGGACCCGAACAGTTAACTTTCTAAAAAGTGTCAACTTTCTAAAATTGGATTTTTGATGCATTTTTTAATATAGCAACATAGTCCAAATAAAAAAAAATTTGCGCTGAGCGATTTCAATCCCAGCCAGGGGCTGCAGCCCCTGGGACCCCGCTCCCAGGGGCGCTGCCCGCGGACCCCCATTCATTTAGGGGCTTCTCCCCTAAATAACAATGTACTTTGAATATTGAAAAACTTGAACATGTGTGCACTCCTACACCATCCTAACTTGTTCAATATTAAACAAGATCATTTTTGGTCAACAATTTTAATCATATTACACTTAAATAATATTGATGATATAAAATCACCAACAAACCTCCTCAATTTAAGTGTAATCCTGATTAAACTTAAAACAAAACATAAGCAACAACAAATTGATGCATAAATGATGACGATGAGGATGATGATGATGATGACGATCACTATTGATAGTGTGACGGTGATGGTGATGGTGGTGGTAGTAGTGGTGGTGATGGTGATGGTGATGGTGAGGGTGAGGGTGATGGTGATGGTGATGGTGATGATGGTGATAGTGATGGTGATGATGGTGATGGTGATGGTGATAATGGTGATAGTGATGGTGATGACGGTGATGATGGTGGTGGTGGTTGTGGTGGTGATGGTGATGATGATGATGATGATGATGGTGGCGGTGGTGATGATGGTGATGATGATAATGATGATGGTGATGATGATGATGATGATAATGATGATGATGTTGATGTTGTTGATGATGATGATGTATATGAGTTTGTGAGATGTATGTGAACGTATTCATAAGCATTATAGTGTTAAACCACTAAACAAGCAATGGATCTCGTATGTATACACGCCTTTATAAATGATATTAATAGCTATAAATTGGTGAAAATATAGATAATCATGTATAATAGAGGTGAGAAAAAATGGAGCGAAAAAAACGACGTTTGGTGCCCGAAAAATAAAAAATAAGAAAAATCCGTAGCAAATCCGTAGCTATTCCGTAGCTAATTAGCTACGGATTTGCTACGGATTTTTCTTATTTTTGATTTTTCGGGCACCAAATGTCGTTTTTTTTGCTCCATTTTTTTCACACCTCTATTATACATGATTATCTATATTTTCACCAATTTATAGCTATTAATATCATTTATAAAGCCGTGTGCACATACGGGAATCATTGCTCATTTAGTGGTTTAACAGTATAATGCTTATGAATACGTTTACATACATCTCACAAACACGTATACATACACATATACACGTACACATATACCACAACTCATTCATGTATATATATATATATATATATATATATATATATATATATATATATATATACAAACATACTCCATCAGAAGTTGGTGAAAACTATAGGCATTACAATGTTAAACTGTGAAACGAGTACTTAATCCCGAAAGGGCACACGACTTTATGAACGATATTAATAGCTATAGGTTGATGAAAATATAGATAATCATCTATAGTAGAGGTGTGAAAAAAACGAAGCGAAAAAAACGACGTTTGGTGCCCGAAAAATCAAAAATAAGAAAAATCTGTAGCTAATCCGTAGCTACTTAGCTACGGATTAGCTACGGAATTCTAACGGAAAGCATACTCCGTAGCTAATCCGTAGGTAAATAGTATCTGTAGGTATCCCGTAGCCATTCCGTAGCTAATTAGCTACGGAATAGCTATGGATTAGCATCTCTAGCTATTTTGTAGCTAATTAGCTACGGAATAGCTACGGAATAGCATCCGTAGTTATTCCGTAGCTATTCCGTTACTAAATTAGGGCATCCCATTCTGTAGCTAATCCGTAGCAATTCTGTAACTAATTAGCTACGGAAATTTTCCGTAGCTATTTTCCGTAGGAAAACCCCATGTTTTCTAGTAGTGGCAATGTACTTTAAACTACAATGATGTAATAGGAAGAAATGAAAGCATGTTTCTATTTCTAACATACATCAGGCGTCATCAACTGAATCGATAACTAGGGTTCCATCCAGTGACAAATTTTCAATAAGAGCATTATGAAACAGAGTTGTTGTTTCCTTTGACTTTCCTTTTAACATCAGAAAATGTAACAGCCCATTTTGGCTTCCACACAACACGTGACCAAACCTCCACCTCTTGGCCATTAAACACCTTTAAAACTGGATCATCTATCTTAACACCAGCCTGAAGAAAAAAAATTACATTATTCTATTAGAGTAAATTACATTTTGGCCCATGAACATAACTAGTTTTGGCAATGTTTGTCCCAAAAGGTTTTCTCTTTTGTCGTTTGGTGCTTATTGGAGGTTTTTGTAATGTTGTTGGTCCCTATTCCAAGTAAAATGAGTATATTTTTGGGACCAAAATCGAAAAAAAAATCAGCTATAGTTAGGGACCAAAAGATTCATTTTAATTATGACACAGACCAAAAACATTACAAAAACATAAACTAAGGACCAAAATTGCAGAAAATAAGCTATACTAAAGGACCAAAAATATAATCTACTCTATGGTTATTGATTTTATAGTAAATTAAATTTTTGGTCCCAAAAAGTTCTATTAGTAATTTAGTCCTTATTTGAGGTTCTTGCAACATTTTTGTCCTCTGGGTATAGCTGATTTTTGCAATTTTGGTCATATAAAATATGATAATTTTACTTGGTAAATTACCAAAAACGTCAAATAGGGACAAAAATTACAACAGAACTTTTGGGACCAAATTTGAAAAAAACCAGCTATACCCAGGGACCAAAACTGTAAATAACTCTTATATATCTAGATAATTATCAAATTAGTTTGTCTGACCCATAATTACACGGAAACGGGATCGTTTCGGTACGTGGAACGAAAACGGGACCGAGGATCGGTAATCTATAAAATTCGGTACGAGGGGGGGTAGTCTTCTCCGGAACGCTATTTTGGTACGTGGAATGGTGTACCACATAATATAGTACGATGTACATATATTGCTAAAATATATAATACTATAAATATAAAAAGTATACTAAATACCAAAAGATCAATACTTCAATTCATACTTCAAAAGTTCAATACAAAAGTAACAAAATAACTTCAATACCAAATAAAGCTAAAATAACTTCAACATTCAAAACAAAGTAACTTCAATACCAAAAGATCCCTAAGTTTACTCTTTCCTTTGCCTTTTTTCATTCCCATCATCAGCTACTCTCTCAACATCTTCTAGATTTTCCCACTTCATTTCTTCAAAGTCGTGTACTTGACTCTTCCAAGTTAATGCTTTCGGGATTTACATCCCACTTCTTGTGTGCCCCGGATGCGTAACTTTCGGAGAATCTTGATTGGAGACGAATATTTGAATGTATAAACACCAATTTATCAGCCCTTTTGGAGTTCAATCGGTTTCTCTTGACATTATGTATGTAAGAGTACGTATTCCAGTTTCTCTCGGCTGATGAACTACTAATAGGCTGTGATAAAACTTTCTTTGCTATAACAGCAAGTTTGGGCGTTTCTGACCCGTAACTTGACCACCAATCAATAGCATCCATGGTCACCGCATCCATGTAAGCTGCCACCAATGCATAAAGGCCTTTTTTCATGTGAAAAGTAGGGAGTTGCTCACGTAGAAGACGCTCCTCTTCTCCACTTTCCGCGATCCTCTTAAAAGATTCCATTACACCAACCATAACCTCCTTATCAAGATTTGGAGCTTTCCTATGAACTCCACTTGGTGCCGCCATCTCCTCAAGATAATTTTTATCATAAAATCTTGGAGATAATGCAAATCCTAAACAATGCAAAGGGATTGTCATCTTCTCCCACCTTGCTAGTATAATCTTCTCCACTCGGGGGTAATACTCAGCATAACGATGATTCATCATGACATCCTTAATCTCTCCTAGCATGTTATCCATTTTCTCATAAATTTCTCCCATCTTTGATCCCTCACCATCACAAAATTTAACCATCAAGTATATTGGTTTTGTAACAGCAAGGACACTTTCCACATCATCCTAAAAGTCTTCATTTTTAATTGTATCAGCAACTAATAATCCACTTTGCCTAGTGTTTTCATCAATATTTTTTGCCATTCTCTCCATGAATTAAGGACAATTGTAGTAGCAAGAGACTCTCTACAATCCCATAACCTTTTCAGCAAAATATAATGAGATGCAAATCTTGTTTTGGCTACTTTTAATAATTCCAATTGTAAATTATCTCTAAAAATAGCCAATGCATGGGTGTGATTAAGAAAATAGTTAACAACTATTTTCCCTTTCCTATATGTGTCCATTAGCCAAAAACAATCGACTGCAAGATCTTAAAAAATTAAATTCAAAGTATGGACACAACAAGGAGACCAGAAAATTTGTTTATGTACCTTCTCCACCTCCTTTCCAGCAGCCTTACAGTTTGTTGCATTGTCGGTAACAACTTCTAGAACATTCCTTGGTCCTACGGTTTATATGGCTTCAAGCAAGAAGTTTGCAATTGTTGCCCCTGTTTTCTCTACACCAGAAAAGTCCTCTGCATACATAAACATGGCTCCACGGCTGTTGGTAGCAATAACATTGATTAATGGCCGATGTGTAACATCCGGATTCCCAGGCATATTATTTTATCCCTTTATTTTTGAAGGTTGGGAGGGGACTCGGCGAGTTGGTGCTTAGACTCGCCGAGTATGGTCGCGGATTCTTATCCGGGTTCACAGCTGGACTCGGCGAGTTCATAAGTGGACTCGGCGAGTCCATGCTGTTTAATGAAACCCTAATTTTCTGGGTTTGGGACCTATTTAAAGGCCCTTAGGGTCGTCATTTGCGGCTACCAAACCCCAGAGAGAAACCCTAAGAGATCTAGAGCGTTTGTGAGGAAGGAGAGGCCACTTTTGATCATTTTGTTGGTGTGATTGGAAGAAGGAGGTGACCAAGGCAAGAGGAGGCTAAAGGAGGAGCGATTATGGTGATTTCAGAGTTCAGAGACTTCATCTTAAGGTATTTATTCGGACCTTCTTCAGATTTGGTGTTGATTCTTAGAGTTAGGGTTTTCTAACCCCTTTAGAGAATGGATATGTGGAGCAATTGGTCCCTTCTCGAGTTTATGCTTTGGATCTGGACTCAAAGAGGTCCAGAGACCTTAACCCTTGGAGCTTTATGGGTTATTTTGGGAGCCATGAACTTAGGAGTTTATTTTTGGGGCTAAATCACCAAGTGAGACCATCTAGATGCTATATGAGTGTCAAGGTCTGAACTTTACGTGATTATCATGCTTGGGAAGGTCAGATCTATGGATTTAAGGAACAGATCTGACCTCAGGAGGTCAATGGAGTTTGTGCATGGCATGAACTCGGCGAGTAGGGTTAGGGTTTCCCGTAAATCACTCAGTGAGTAGACTTGCCGAGTTGGGGAAATAACTTAGTGAGTCAGAGGGGATTAGAGCACTGGAGTTCAAGGCGGAACTCGCCGAGTTGTTCTTAAGACTCGACGAGTTGAGTCTGGGTGGCCCCGCGATTCATGCCAGGTGTGACTCGTCGAGCAAGGGGAGGAACTCAACGTGCCAAGTGAGACTAAAGAATTAGTGGACACGTGTAGACTCGCCGAGTCGCCCAAGTGCACTCGACGAGTCGAGTCAAAGTTTGACCGTTGACTTTTGTTGACTTTTAGGGTTTGGTCAACAATGTAGCCTTTAAGCCAAAAGAGGGGTAAAATGGTCTTTTACCCTTCTGAGGGTGCTAAGAGAGGGTTGAGTATAGTTATATTTATGAGAGTATTTACTTTATGTGATTAGGCGGAGGCTAGATCATATTTCTACTGAGTCAGAGATTTACCGAGACATCTGAGGGGAGTCTTCTCACTATACTTTACCTAGTGTAGTAACAGAATTATGTGACAGAGTATTTTAGAGTTATATGCCAGTGTATTTGTATGTTATTATGTGTTGTGATTTATTGTGATATGTGATATGCATGATCCAGAGTTATAGAGTTAGGACCAGTGGGTTCACAGAGTTATGGGACCAAGAGGGTCCCACATAGATATTCGACCAGAAGGTCAACAGAGTTACAGCCTTGAGTGGCTGATATGTGTTTATGTGGTATTTTGGGGAACTCACTAAGCATTTATGCTTACAGTGTTTTTGTTATGTGTCTCAGGTACCAGCGATGATCGCGGGAAAGCGCCGGCATGATCTGTACACACACCCATACCCGTGGAGTTTATTATGATTTGATCTTGGGATTTGTAATGAGATAATGCTGATACAATGTTTTCTTGAAAATGATTATGAATGACTTTGGTTTTAAAAAGTGAAAAATTGTCTTAATTTTTACGGTGTTACACGATGTTTAACATTGGACCAGCCATCCGACACAATAGAAACCCCCTGTGTATACCATGTATCCTTCACTGAAGTCATCCCCTTTTCCACATCTCTCACACACTCGTCAAGCAAAACGGTTCGAGCTTTATCGTATGAAGGAGCCTTATAACCAACAGATGCCCTGTTTATGGCTGTTATCATCTCTTGAAATTGAGGATTACGTAGAACATTGAAAGGAATGCCATTAGTACATAATGCTCTCATAATCTTCATATCAACTGTGTTTCTTTCCATCATACCAAAAGAATCTTCGAGCGGTTTTCTAGATTTAGAAGTAGAACTTTGTTTATTATTAATTACAGAGTTCTTCAAAGACTTAGAAATACCTTTTGATTCAGCAACATTTACTCTGTTTAACAAGCTTTGATATTTAACCCGATCCTTGAGTATAGCAGGACACCTATTGATTTCTGGTGCTTTCCCGATTGCAGCACCAAAAAAGTGTACATAAATTCTAGTATAAGAGTTGGTAAACATTTGATGGCAGTGCTTACACACCCATTTCTTTGAACCCCCTGCGTTTTTACTCCCTGATACACCAACTATGTCCACTTCCTGCAACAGGGGCTTATCAACCTTGGAAGCCTGAACATTTTGAGGAGCTTCAACACTTTCTGAAACGCCTAGAACTCCATCTTCATTATCAGAATCAGTCAAGGTAACATCAACACTTTCTGGAACGGGATTATCTTTACCAAATACCATTTTGGTCCCTAACTATAGCTGATTTTTTTTCGATTTTGGTCCCAAAAATATACTCATTTTACTTGTGGTATAGAGTCCTTTTTGAGTTTGGTCGAAGGGTAAAATGGTCTTTTTGAAAAACCAAATAGCTGTCTAGTTACATTTAATGATACAGGGACCAAGAGTAATGAAACCTTGACACAGGGACCAAAAGTTAAACAAAAAAATCTTTGTTGGACTTGAACCAAAGAAAATTTTCGAACACTAGGGACCATTTTGGCAGTTTCCTTTAATAGAAACTCTTAATAGTCTTAGGTTTTTAAATAGAGTGATTTATAAGGTTGTTAGCATTTAAATACACTTTTAGGAAACAGAAAGAATGCATGAGGTATGAGAGAAGTTACTTGGGGTTAACACACTCCTTTATTGCTACCGCCAGTTTTTGAGAGTTCATCCATGTAAGGCCCAACCTCAAGAATTAACTACAATAAAATGTAATCATAAAAAATCAAAACTTAACATCAGGACAATCACTCTAATAATAAAATATAAAGTGAGATATATTATACTCGGTTTATGTTGCCTGGGTATGGAGAAAAGCCAGTGTCACAATTGACATCTCCATCAGGATGACTTGTTGCTCTAAGAAGAGTATCCAATTCATTGTATTCCACATTAATCACCATTTCTATTCCTGAGGGTATTTTTGTCAATATAAAAATAATTTAAAAACCATGACTCAGTAACAAGATAATTCAACAAAACTTAGCATCTGAATGAGTAAGCCTTGTAATGCCTCCAATTGCTTCTTTGGTTTTTTGAGGAACAGAAAGAGAATTAACATCCTACTCTTTAGTTGCACTTACTCCCAATGCTGCAGGAATTGCCTGAATAAATAAATAAATAAAATAATTTTGTATATCAAACTCTATATGATAATACTATTAAGGCAATCTTTGAAATGAACCTTAAATAGGAGTCCATTCGTGTCTTGAAAAAACACAACCCCTCTTAATTAAACCAGAATCTTTCCTAAAAGAGATGGTTCCATAAAGTATAATGAGATAGATATTTTAATAAAAACAAAAACCAATCAAATAAAAAAATGCATACATACCATTCTTTAAGAAGACCACTTGAATAAAGAAGTGAATGAACATCACCATGACCATGAGGTTTTTTCTGATAAGAGAAGTAAAAAGGGTTTATAATTTGGAAGATTACAAATACATATATATGAATTAAATACAAACTGCACCTGTATTCTGTACTTATTGTGTGGATCAACAGCAAGCCTAGCATCATTATCAGCCAAGCAAGCCACCTTTTCCTGAAACATGGTACCATGAATTTACAATGCCAATTATGCCCTTCTACTGTAGCGAAAAGAATACCCAAATGTGATGCAATTACCTGTTTTAAAAGTTTTACTTGTGTAGATTTCATCCCAAAATAAGAATTTGATTCTAGGAGTTGTAATGTTTTTTCATATGTGTCATCTCAAGTCATTATCACAAAAGGTGCTTCTCTTCTACATTCACCTACAATTGGACAATTTACCAGTTTTTTAATATATTGATTTTAAGTTTCTGTTGTGCATATAAGAATAAAGATAATATGTTAATGGGGAAACAAAAATCACCTTGAGTTTGTGTACAACTAGCTTTAGATAAGCATAAGATGGAGTCGATTTAATGTTGCAAAAACAAGTTCCTGTAGTGGTTTCCATGGGAATTACTACCTACAAAATACATGAAGTTTTATCGAGTGGTGTTAAACTAACAGAACAGTTATCACAATTCACAGGATTAAAAGACAGAACTAACCTTGATTCCATTGTATCCAAGGCGTTCCCCAAGCCCTCCTGCAACAAGAACAAATGCAGCATGTTGTATTTGGTTAACACCTGCTAGTCTCCTCATATTTGATAAATTTATCATCACCAAATGTTAGAATTTCGCCTGATGGGGCCAGCAGAAATGTGGTTGAAATCATAAAAAAAAAAAAAAAAAAAAACAAGAAAAGTAAACTTAATTTTGGCCTAAAAAGATAGTTTAGTGACATACAGAAGGTGTACTGAAGCCATGAAATGGATTGTTTCCAGCCTTTGAATCTGCTAAGAGTTCTCTAGCAGTCATGATATATGATGCCAAACCTCCAGGATAGCTTGAATTAAGAAGGACGAAGATGAAGACGAAAATTATAAGTACCCATTTATACTCTAATAAATACTGTTCACAGAGCCAGAATTGCAATTGGTATATTTTAATTTATGTTGTAGATTACGCATGCGTTATTGTACATTGTTCTGTGTTCTTATAATATCCTTAATTTATTTATTATGAACTCTGCTTCCCATACAAGATTTGATACTATTTTTCAGTGTCCTCTGTTTTGGAGCTGGTGAAGCTCGTTGCTTTTCCCCTAAAAGTTTATTACTATTGTTGGGATACTGTCCTCATTGTGTCGCTACAATTTATGTGCATTTGTTATCACCTAATCAGATTTCTTTTGTTTCCATGAATCGATAAGGTCACACAGCAGAGTTGTTATCTCCATCTCAAATTTCTTTTGTCAGCTTCAACTAAGCGTTTGCAAAGCCAAGTAATTATACCACTGTGCATTCTGTGAGGTCTGTGGAGTCCAACGTTGATTAGGTATGTTTCTTTCTCTCATTTTTATTATTTTTTTCGTGTTTTCAATTTCTCTATTTGAGTCTGAACAGGACAACAGGTTTGATGATTTTTCTACTAATTTAGACCTCCATTTTGTGTTGATCTCTACTGCACACCAACTGTTTGATGTTATGCCTTAGTGAAACCGTTTCCGAATTTCGTTTTTCTGATGTAATAGTCAGTGATCTTTCTACTCTATAAGAGAGATGATTCGAGTGACCATATGTAATATTTTTAAAAGGAAAGATCAGATGTAAATTTGGTCTCCTTATGAATATCTGGTCTGTTGGTTGATTGTGCCCAAAATGTGAAGCTTGTGTTTGTGTATATTATTATAACACTCTCCATATCAAAACCACCAATGAACAATCTGATCTAACTGCACAAGTTGGTTAAATTGACCATGACAAACAAGTAGGGGCAACATAATATTATTTGGTTGTTGTTGAATTAGACTTGTTGATGATATGTTTCAAAGATAGTTTCAATAGAAATGGTTGATGCTAAAATCGCCAGGGATTAACTTGTTTGACCGATTCGGATGAAAACAAATTTATTTTGAATTCAATGATAATTAATTTGGTCAAATGCAAAAGGGTTCCCTGTAAGAAACAGCAACATACTTTCATTAATATGTTTATTATAGCAATGTATTTTCATAATTTCATGTATACTCTATTAAAGCAATGTATTTTGAAAAATCTACCTATTTATAAATTATAACAATGTCATTCAAATACAAAACATTTTTGAGGATTTTTCCTGCAAAGAACAACCAGATTTAGCTGTTAAAGTAGCATTCTTTATCTACAACTAAGACTTAAACTACTAAGTTGATTATTTTAATAAAAATTCCAACTTAATATCAAATAAGATGGTTTAAAGTCAGTTACACCTGTTTTTATTATTGAACATCTTGTCTTTCAGATTAATATATTTATTAACATGGTTTTTCTAAATTTTATAAATGATAGTGTTAGAGTGATAGAGGTGAAGCTTCAGATTTCAGAAGATACGAAGTAGCTGTATAATGGAGGTTAGTTGTATTAAAAATTTTCAAGCAAATGAAATAAAAGAATCCTGACTTTAATATATGGTTTTTGATTTAGGTAAACAGAAGGTAAGTGTTGAGTAAAATAAGACAGTTTTGGTCCCTGAGTATAGCTGAAAATTTCAGTTTTGGAACTTATTTGAGGTTCTTGTAATGTTGTTGTACATGTTTCAACTAAATTTTTGGTCCCGAGTATATCTGATTTCAATTATAGTCAATTTATTTGCAACAGGTACAAATAAGTTGCAAAAAGTTGTATTCAGTATAGTCTAATATGTTTTTAATCGAGTCATTACTAATGTAGTATTATCCTAATATCATTTTTAACAATCGAAAAGACCATGATTAATCTGGAATGGATAAACTGGCTTTCATTCTTATAAGTTCACTGTTTGGTTAATCTAAGTGAGAAAAGTTCATTTCACAGTCATTAATTGTTAGACCCAAATGATATCATTACTATTTCATTGAATGATTTCATTAGTTTTACATTTTGCAATATGTAATTTGGCTGGGGTTTTTAAGTCTCCCATATCAATATATTTGCCACCAACACCATGGGTGGCCCTTATCCCTGTTTTGCATGAAATAAGATATCCTGGAAAATTCATATATTCGTAGCATATAAAAACACAAAGAAAATTACCATTTAACCCTCCATCCCTTCCAAAAAAAAATAGAAATTGAAAGTGTAATGTACTCCTGGGTTTATAGTTTCTATTACCAAGTTGTTTCTTGTATTTGCAGCACATGGCCCCTGAATGACTACTGATGAACAAGTTTTTCAGAAAGAAAGGGTTGAGAATAAAAGTTTATGAATACCATTTGAACTAAAAGACAAATTAAAGATGAAGAATTATAATAAATTGCCCCAAATTATACGTTCAAAGACTTGCAAGTCTTGGGAATTTGTATTTATCATCAAAATCATTTCCAAACTTGTGATATTTTCGAAGACTCAAAAGTAATGTGATCAGAATTGTTAACAATGGGCTCTACAAAAGGTAATTCCTGGTTTGTGTTAGAAGGCCCAAACTTGCTCTTGGGCTCATGAGGGTTTATATAATCTTGACTGTCAAGATAAATGATCCTAACTCCTGAGTAGGTGGCCTCAAATGGGTGGCCACTTGTGTGGGGCATATAGTATTTCCATCAATACTTAATTTCCATGAAATTTGAGCAAAACTATAAGAAAAATCAAAGATGAAGAATTAGAATTAGTTGCCCCAAGTTAGACGTTCAAAAACTTACAAGTCTTGGCAGTTTGTCTTTATTATAGATATATCTTTTCCCAC